GTGAGCGAATTCGGTGGCTTTTTTACGAGTCTTGTCTCCAACTTAATAGCGTTTTCATCCGATAAAACCGACGGCCACGAAAAACCATTAGGCGTAACGTCAATATGATTATTTATTCGAATGTGTCCGCTCTAAACAATTCGGTCAAGGCGGAGCTAAAAATAATTTGTCGCCTACGTCCGCGCTACTATTATCGATGGGGTTTTATTTGCTATTTGTGTGACGAGAAGTATTTTCCCGCAAACTCATTTTTTATGTTAATAACTTACCACCCTCACCTAAGAAAGTCTATTTTTATACCTTTGTCAAAACATAACCAAACAAACCTAACCAAAACTAAAAAACAGAAGAATAAACGTAAATTGGGAAGAACAGCTGAATCGAATTGAAGGCGGTGTAAGGGTGTTTCAGAGGCCAAAGTTGCCTTTTGACGTTGTCCAATGCCTAACTTTCATAATCCTCTATCATCGCATTGAACCTCAAGTCACTTGAGCTCATTGCCCTTGAGACTCCCTCCTTCCAAGTTTTTCTCAGTCTTCCTCGTTCCTTGCGGTTTGGTGTTATCCATCGCATAATCTTAGGCAACTTGGAATCGCCCATTCATCGAACATGACCTCTAGTTGCTTTCGTTCGATATCTGTCATTAGTGATCCTTCTACTCCCACTCTCTTGTTTTTTTATTAGAGTTGCCGAGGGCCCAAATATACATACAAATTTATAATATATAATTGTTGTTTACTTGATGAACATCCATTTATCAAAATAAATAAGAACTAAAAGTTACATGACTATTACCATTACTTTTACTACCATCACTATAACAAAAGCGCAAAGCAAATTAGATTTTTCAATTTATATCAAAACCTTCACACACGAACACAGTCATACATAACATCTCAAATCACCTTATACACACAAAATGGCTGCATTTCACTCTTTTATGCACAGACTTCTTAATACGCCACTCTCAACAGAAGATTACAACAAAAAACTTAATATCATTAAACAAATTGCACTGAACAACGGCTACAATCCGTCCATTACAAATAATATTATGAATAAAAAAAATCCAGACAACACTAAACTCTATTTTTCCGAAATCTAATACAGAAGACAAACAATTTAAAACAATTACATACATAGGAGAACCTAGTGGAAAAGTTTCAAAATAATTGTCAAAATGTGGTTTAAAAATAGCTTTCAGAACTAACAACACAATAGGAAAATTTTTAAAGACAATAAAACGAAATGCCCAAAATCTCAAAAATCAGGTGTCTACAGGTTGAAATGTGGATCTTGTCCTAAAATTTATATTGAACAAACAGGTAAATCCTTCAAGAAACGCATTAACAAACATAAAAGAGCGTTTAAAAACAATAGTCTAGATTCTAATTATGCTACACACTTAAACACAGAAAAACACATTTTTGTGGACAATTTTGATATTTTACATACAGCCACAAAAAGTAGAAACAAAATGAGACATTCAAATGTATTGTTTAACGATCAATTAGATTTAAATAACTCTCCTTTATTGAACTTAAATTCTCACAACATTAATTAAGGTTTTATGGTCATTTTTCGATATATATATATATATATATATATATATATATATATATATATATATATATATTCTCACGTATTGATTCACGGATGGAAAAATGTGATGACACTATACTCCGGGATATCATCCGTTCGCTCGTTGAACTCCGACTGGAATCCTGCAAATCCTGCATCCGACTGGAATCCTGCAGACGTTTCGCCAAAATCTCACTTGGCATCTTCAATGCTCGCGCTCCGAAAACATTAGTACATCCGACTGTAAGGGTATAGGAACACTGTGTTCGAAGTTACCTGGTAGTTGTTCAAACAATTGTCATGTAAAAATATATAATTTCGTGAAAATCTGAACTTTTAGTTCTTATTTATTTTGATATATAATTGTGACTATAGTTAAATCTTATTGATAAAACAGAGTTATTAAAAATATATTTTTAGAAGTCTTTAAATACATGCAAATACTTTTAAAGTAATCTAGTACAAATTAATTGGGACAGTAACTAAATAGAAATACTTAGAAATGTTTTCAACGTCCAATGCCCTTTGTTGTATACACAACGTTTCTGGAAGGAACCAGGTGCAGACTAATTTTAATTCTAAGCTCCCTTAAACTTGCGCTTTTTTTTCAGTGCGGTTACTTACAGACAACCCGAGCGTTGGGCCATTTCATGTTGTGTTCTTTGGTCCATACATGTTCCATCATTCTTGTAGATTTCACCCCACAATGTGACCCTCCACATTCAATTCTCGTAACTCCGATGTTTCTGACTTTGTCCTTATACGGTCTTAAATTTGAATTGTTTTGCTATTCAACTGATTTTTTCTTAGTTTCTCTACCTCAGATCGTTCTGTTGTTTGCTTAACATTTTAACATACACAGGACAAGAGGAAATACTTGGAAGGAATTTGGTGTTATAAGGGATATATATTATTACATCTCTAACCGCATCAATCGAATCTTGGTTATAAGAGGAGTTTCATCAATGGATAATTGCTCCTGAATACCTTGGCATAGCTCCTCGAGTCATAAAGTTTCTTCGACACGGCCATTATCGGCAATATGGTTTCGGTTGGGTTGATTTTTGGACTGTTACTTGGCCACGGCAAAGTTTTAATGTTGGAATTTTGGAGTCATCGTGTAACGATATGAACAGTGTAACAGCGTGGACAGGGCAGTTGTCTTTGTGGAAAATGTCTTTCGGGTAAATCTGTTCCATCCTGCCCGCCATAACCTTTTGCAATATTTCGGCATAAGTTTGACCAACAAATCTTTCTTCACTCCGCAATGTCACTCTTATTCCTCTGGACGAAATCCGTCCAGAAATATTTGTAACTATCGACAAATCCAGGGTTGAGAAGATGATTGTCTCATCTGTACATTTTGATTTAACATTTTTTGGGTCTGGAACTGCTGTCCTTGCGCTTGATAACTTAGAACAAAAATAAGCCTACTTCTTGTACAAGTGTCATGTTCACTACATGGAGTTACTTATCTGCGTTAAGGTCTGTCCATTGTCTCGGGTTTCCTTGTCATGAAAGCCTCTTACTCTTCTATTTTTTCGTTAAGGATAAGTCGAAGAAAGTCCTATCGAGGTCCTTTAATTATCTAGCCTAGGTATTCAATTTTTCATTGCTTGATAATATTCAGAAGTAGCCTGTGGTCTCCCATTCTCATGGTCCAGGATATTTGAAGCATTCTCCGCTATGCTTCCAAATGCTTCGATCTTATCGACCAATTCCTTATTAAGTCCATGTTTCGCATCCATACATAAGGATCTACGATATGTAACACATATCATTTGACATTGACAGTATTAGTAACATGAAAATAATGAAGTTTGCATGACAACGACATGAGACCTATAATACACTGCTCAAAATTTTGAAAAACCAGCTGTAGGTAATGGAAGAAACGGTAAAATCTCATACCTGTCTCTTTGTGTACGGTTTCTCCGTAATTGTTTCAGTTACAAGTATTTGAAATTTTAGGGATATTTGTATTTAAATGACATTGAAAACACAAAAAAGTGTATTTCAATTCGTATTCAAATACAGTAATGTATTTCAAATATTTTCTTTTACTATATGCAAATACTTAACAACACTTGGACGGAGGTAGTTTTTGCTTAATGAAAATCCATTTAACACCATTAAATTAGAACAAATAATGTTCAGATTTTTACAGTTCTTAATGATTTATGACAGCTGTTTCGGCAAAACCGTGCCTTCGCCATAAATCCAATGTATATCTCTTTTCTTGTATTGATGCCTTCGTGCTTCTTTCAACTATTTTGTCCGACTTTTTCTTGTAGTGGGAACTTTGCTGTTGGTATTTAGTTTCACAAATTTGGGATAGGCTCGGTTGTGTAAGCACTTGTTGCAGAACCAGATATTTTGAGTATATATTTGGAATCCTAATAATATTATAAAATTACAAATTGCCAGGAAATCATTGTCAGCTTCTTTGAAGAATTGGACTGAGGTGGTTTTACTTGGTGAAAATCAATTTAACGCAATTAAATTAGCACAAAAAATGTTGAGATTTTTACAGTTCTTAATGATTTATAGCAGCTGTTTCGACAACACCATTTTGTCCGACCTTGGAGTTGAGCCTTTGTTGCAGCTGGACCATTGTTGTTGGTTTTTAGCTTCACAAATTTGGGAGATACTCTGTTGTGTAAACACTGGTTACAAAACCAGATGTTTTGTATATATATTCGGCATCGTAGTAATAGTTTAAAATAACATATAGCCACGAACTCATTGTCAGCTTCTTTCACTAGTTGGACTGAGGTGGTTTTACTTGATGGAAATCAATTTAACACAATTAAATTACAACAAAAGATGTTCAGATTTTTACAGTTTTTAATGATTTATAGCAGCAGTTTCACAAATTTGGGATATACTCCATTGTGTAAGTACTTGTTGAAGAACCAAATGTTTTGAGTATATATTCGGCATCGTGGTTATAATTTAAAATAAATAGCCAGGAAATCATTTTCAACTTCTTTCAAGAATTGGACTGAGGTGGTTTTACTTGATAAAACTCCATTTTTAACACAATTAATTTAGAACAAAAAATGTTCAGACTTTTACAGTTTTTAATGATTTACGATGTACTTGATAAAGGCCCGGTGTTGCCGAAACAACTGTCATAAATCATTAAAAACTTTGAAAATCTGAACATTATTTGATCTAATTTAATTGGCTTGACAACACTGCTTGTAATTAAATAAGAGCTGTAGGAATGAAGAAGAACGAAGAAGAAAAAATACGAGCGATATTTTATAAAGGACCAAACTAGATTTTAACACCACAATAACCAACGGTAAGTTCTCCGAACGCTGAACAACAATTAGCGTTTTTGCCCCAACAGGAGGACGCTTAATTTGGCTCATCAATCTCTATAAAATAAGCAAGTGTCACAGTATCCTTACCTCGTCGTCGAATGGGTCGTGGTCAGCCATTGTGTCTTCGGTATACAGCCGTCACTATTCCCTGGCTATTCAATAAATCTTCTCCGGACAAAGCGGGACGCTAGCAGCGAGTTCGCGACACTGAAGTTTAACATAAATCGCCTGACGATTATTGCGGGGTTAGATTGTAATTCGGGAGTTCTCCGAATCGCTCATTTGAGGATATTTAGGCGCTAAGTAAATGTTGTTTAGGGGCGCGGATGCCGAGTTAAGCGAACTCCGATTCCGGGAAGGGAAAACGCAACTAACCAATCATCGTATTTCGTGTGAATTCATTTTTAATGCTCATTTTATACCAACAAGATCTTTATGAATGAACTCGTGCAGCTGTTTCGCTAATAATTATACCGGACCATTCCCAAATCGGCACATCAAGCAGGTATAGTCTGATTTTTTTCAAAGAAACTTCCACCGGCTACTGTAAAACTTCTGGGTTTCTTTTGCGTCGGTTTTTGCTGAGCTGTTGGCTTCTTCGGAGCTTATATGAAACTCGCTCGAATTTTACTCTGTACCTATTGTTTGAAGAGGGCGGAGCTAAATGGGCATAAACACCGTTTCGGATGACTGATTCCCATATTGGTGACAGGTAGAGACCTGAGCCGCAGTTAAGATTGTTAGGTTGTTCATTACAAAGCTTTAAATCTTCGTTAATCTACTATCCAAAATCACATTCAGAAATATGAAAAACTAACGTCAACACTAGGAAAACAATCGAAACTGCCAAGCACAGTAATAAATGTATCATCGCACCAACTTTCGGAAACGGAAAAATGAATTCTTTCAAATGGTTCCAGCTTCATCTTTGCCCCACATATTATCCCAAAAGAGGAAATAATTTGAAATTTCAAGTCTATCCTAAACAAACAGCTGATGAAATTCGATTTGAAACTGCAAAAATCCTTACCCCTGAACGCATTGCCCTAAAATCTTTAAAATCAAGTCCAGACATGATAATCCTAAAAACAGGTAAAGGAAATGCAACGGTGATCATGGACAGAAATGAATATCAGGAAAAGATTCAAGGTATTCTTACAGACGGATCATATCGTCCTACGTCATCTATGGATCGCAACCTTAACTCTGTTATTAAGGTTCAGGTTCTTCTCTATCAGACTCCGTCAAAAAATCTGTATTTCCCCATGACTCTAAAATTCCTCGTCTCTACGGACTCTCAAAGATCCACAAACCAGGATTACCCCTTCGACCTATTATCAGCACCATTGGTTCTCCAACATATTCTCTAGCAAAATATCTAGCTTCCTTATTAAAACCCCTTAAAGGGAAAACTGACAGTTTCGTACTTAATTCCTGTCACTTTATTGAACAATTAAAAAGTATTACATTAGGTACACAAGTAGTTAGTTTCGACTTAGAATCTCCCCTTATCAAAGTTCCTATTCCTGAAACTCTCAACATCGTTTGAAATATATTAAAATCCGAGACTCTGGAACGAAACCTTCTCAACATAATCGAAAAATGCTTGTCTGTAACAAATTTTTCTTATAACGGTCAAATTTTTGATCAAACGTCGTGAACAGCTATGGGTTCTCCATTATCATCAGTCATAGCGAAAATATTTGTGGAAGCCTTTGAGAAGAAACGTCGATGATATGATGATAATTTTGTTGTTTGGCCTTATGGTCAAGAAACCCTAGTAGATTTCCTTAGACATTTAAACTCTATATATCCCAATATACGTTTTACCATTGAGTTGGAAACTGATAATATCCTTTCATTCTTAGATATTCTTATCAATAGAAAATGAGATCTAACATTGGGTCAATGTTTTTACAGAAAACCTACGCACACCTTAATGCATGGTCACATCACCATCCGGCCCAAAAATCATCGGTTATCAACTCTCTTGTTTACAGAGCCGTGAAACTATCTCAGCCCGAGTCACTGAATCCAGAATTAAAACACCTTTCCACCTGAAGATATTAAGAGTTCCATCAAAAAATACGCTTCACCACAACTTTCCCATAGCAATGAGGACGAAAGCAATCCTACACTTGCCACCGTGGTCCTTCCTTAAATTCAAAATATCACTGACCACATATCAAAAGTTCTAAAGAAGCATAACGTCAAAAGCACATTTACCACTTGTCCAAAAAGCTCTCAACATCTTCGATCTTTTAAAGATAAAATTCCATTTGAGACGCCAGGAGTTTATAGCAAAAATAATTTTTGTGTTAATGGCTTTACCCAATAACTATAGGTAATAACATCGTTAAAGTTTTATTTGTAACCCAAAACGGCACAAACTCGCAGCAAGTCCCATTTGTCCACAGAAACAAATTTAATTAACTCGAAAAGAAATAGGTAATTTTTATACTAAATATGGCAGGTGTTTCTTAAAAAACATTATTTAAGTTCTCACATTTTCGATGACTAGTTAGCTAATAGTTAAGGTACGAGAAAATCCAATATTTTCAACCTTAAAAACTGAAAGGGGTATGAAAATTTTGTTAACGGCATCTTTGGTTTTGCGAAGAAGTAGTACACTGTCGCGAAAACTATAACTTTTATCTATCAAGATAACGGAGAGCATCATTTCCTTTTCTCATTCAGCAAAAAATTACTTACTTACTTTTAAGCGCAAAACCTCGTTTTGAAAAACACAGCCCTACTTATGCACACAGGGCTATTGGTCGTCTAAAAGCTCAAGGCATTTTCTAATTGGAAATGTAAAAAAAAACGCTCTTATTCTCTTGGCGTTTTGAACTCTGTTGTGCAACAAAGCAAGCAAAAACTCATAATCATAATAAATTCTCAACAAAATTGCTCTGTATGTAATAAATATGAACCACGTTTGTCCTCGTGTTCTTTTTATGTCTCCAATATGAATGACTTTCAGATCTTTTTTCTTAATTAAACGTGCAAAACACCCAAATACCATTGATTGTTGGCAGAACACAGCTAACTCTGCGCAACGTATTGAGAAAATTGTAGTACTGAAGTACGGCGTTGTTTCTAACTTGAATTTTTAGCTTTTATTTTTGTTAGAGGACTTGAAGACTATTTTTCTTTCTGTATTATGTAACCACTGTGAAGTTGCGTAGGAAAACCACAAGCTGGAAAGATGCATGCTTGTTTCTAACTTGAATTTTTAGCTGTTATTTTTTTTAGAGAGGTAGCAGCTTGAGGACCATTTTTCTTTTTATTTAATTTAACCACTGTGATGGGTCCTTTTCGCAACAGAAAGAGGATAAACTCACAAGTTCTCTCTCTCTCTTCTTAATCTATAATCATAATAACTTTTGAATGTATTATCAAGAAAATTGCTCTGTTTGTAATAGACATGAACCGGAAACTCTTGTCCATATATTCCTTTTATGCCTTCTATCGTCTGATTGTGTCCGAACCCGCGATATCACGAATATTCCGAACTTCAGATCTTTTTTCCTTAATTAAACCTGCAAAACACCCAAATACCATTGATTTTTGGCAACACACAGCTAACTCTACGCAAAATATTGAGGAAATTCGAAAATGCTGTCTGAGGTTCATCTACAGCATCCGTAGTGGAAGACAACAAGCTGAAGTACGGGGTTGTTTCAACAATGCTATCTGAGGTTCATCTACAGCATCCTTAGTGAAAGGCTACAAGCTGAAAGTACGGGGTTGTTTCTAGCTTGAATTTTTAGCTGTTATTTTTGTTAGAGAGGTAGCTTGATGACTATTTTTCTTTCTGTATAATTTAACCACAGTGATGTTGGCTATGGGCGCTTTTCGCAACAGGGAAAAACTCACAAATTCTCTCTCTCTCTCTCTCTCTCTCTACTTAACCTATAACCATAATAACTTAAAATAAGTTATCAAGGAAATTGTTCTGTATGTAATAGACATGAACCAGAAAATGTTGTCCATGTATTCCTTTTATGCCTTCGATCTGTTTGCTTAACTTGACTTCCAAAAAAGCTAGGGAAATAGCATTGGTACTCTTGACAACAGACGCTACTGTCTCTATTTCAAAATCATTAAAACCCGAATATCAGAGAAAATAGCCTTTAGGACCGATGTGAAGTTATGTATGAAAACCACAAGCTGAAAGATGGGGAGTTGTTCCTAACTTGAATTTTTAGTTGTTATTTTTGTTAGAGAGGTAGCTTGAGGCCTACTTTTCTCTCTATATAATTTAACCATGTTGGGTATGGGCGCTTTTCGCAACAGGGCAAGGAAAAACTCATAAATTCTCTCTCTCTCTCTCTTTCTCTCTCTCTCTACTTAACCTATAATCATAATAACTTTAAATATGTTATCAGGAAAATTGTTCTGTATGTAATAGACATGAACCAGAAAATGTTGTCCATGTATTCCTTTTATGCCTTCAATCTGTTTGCTTAACTTGACTTCCAAAAAAGCTAGGGAAATAGCATTGGTACTCTTGACAACAGACACTACTCAGAGAAAATAGCCTTTAGGACCGACGTGGACAATTTAAATCTAAGATTGATTTAAGGAAGTCACTTACGACTTGGCTTAACTATATAACGACCTGCCGTATTCCATGGCTTTTAGCTGTTAGTTTTGTTAGACAAGTAGCTTTAGGACTTTTTTCTTTCTGTATATAAGTACTTAAGGAATATGAAAATTTAAGGTTGAACCATACATTAATTTTGTGATACGTCTTCTGTTTTTATGAGGACAAACAGATACGCTTGAGCCTTGTCTTTTATTTGTCGAAATTATCTGAATGAAATAATATTATTCAACGCAAATGCTAACAATATTTTGAATGCGCACATTGGGAGGTTCATGAGGGATCGACTATAACATAATGTTCTAAGCAAAATCCGTCTTTGTTATGCTCAACATGGCAGCGTATTTAGTTGCTGTTCGGGGGTCCGTAAAACGCGAGTTAAACCGCTTATTCAACAGGGAGTCATCTCCGACGGTATTATTAATGGACCGTCGGTAAAAATATTGACATTTATCTCGCAACATGTATCAGTTTATGACCCAGTTTCGGAGTTCACGTATTCCCCTACCAACATTTACTCGTCGCCTATTTACATTCTCGATTTGATGGCAGTTTCATTTTTCGATAGCGATGACGAAGCAGTCGGCAGATTCGGCAACCCTGCCGTCGCGTTAGGGGTTGAACGATCGCCGCATATCCTCGGGCTACCCTGTAACAAAGAATTCGTTTCAGTCGATATTGCGTTAGCGTATTTTTACGATTTGACAATTTGTTATCTCTAGAAACAAAAGCTCGGAAATGTACTGGAGGCGCCACGAAGGTACAACCAAAAATTGTACATTAATTTTATTTCACGATAAAATTAGAACAAAAAACGCTCAGATTTTCACAGTCATTTAAATTAGAACAAAACATACATAAATGTTCACAGTTTTTTTGTTGGTTTATGACAAATCTTTTACTCCACAATTAAATTAGGACAAACATTTTTCAGATTTTTCACAGTTATTTATTGGTTTGTGACAGTTGTTGTGTATTTATTTCGTTCCACAATTAAACTAGAACAGAAAATATTCAGATTTTCACAGTTATTTATTAGTTTATGACAACTGCTGTATATTTATTTATTAGAACAAAAAATGTTCAGATTTTCACAGATACGTATTGGTTCATGACAGTTGTTGTATATTTATCTTATTCATAATTAAATATGAACAAAAAAAACTTCAAATTTTCACAGTTTTTAATTAGTTTATAAGAGCTATTGTATATGTATTTTATTCCACAGTTAAATTAGAAAAAAAGTGTTAAGATTTTCAGAGTTATGTATTGGTTTATGACAGCTGTTTTATATTTATTTTATTCCACAATTAAATTAGAAAAAAATGTTCAGATTTTCACAGCGATTTATTGGTTTATGACAGCTTTTTATATTTATTTAATTCCACAATTAAACTGGAAAAGAAGTATTCAGATTTTCAGAGTTATTTATTGGTTTATGGCAGCTGTTTTATATCTATTTTATTCCACAATTAAATTTAAAAAAATGTTCAGAATTTCACAGTTATTTATTGGTTTGTGACACCTGTTTTATATTTATTTTATTCCAAAATTAAATTCGAAAAAAGTATTCAGATTTTCTCAGTTATTTATTGGTTTATGGCAGCTGTTTTATATCTATTTTATTCCACAATTAAATTTTAAAAAATGTTCAGAATTTCACAGTTATTTATTGGTTTGTGACACCTGTTTTATATTTATTTTATTCCAAAATTAAATTCGAAAAATGTATTCAGATTTTCTCAGTTATTTATTGGTTTATGGCAGCTGTTGTGTATTTATTTCGTTCCACAATTAAGTTAGAACAGAAAATGTTCAGATTTTCACGGATACTGATTGGTTTATGACAGCTGTTGTATATTTGTCTTATTCATAATTAAATCTGAACAAAAAAATCTTCAGATTTTCACAGTTTATTATTAGTTTATGAGAGCTGTTGTATATGTAGTTTATTCCACCATTAAACTAGAAAAAAAGTATTCAGATTTTTAGAGTTATTTATTGTTTTACGACACCTGTTTTATAATTATGTCATTCCACATTAAATTCGAAAAAAATATTCAGATGTTCACAGTTATTTATCGGTTTATGACAGCTGTATTATATCTATTTTATTCCACAATTAAATTGGAAAAGAAATGTCCAGATTTTCACAGTTATTTATTGGTTTATGACATCTGTTTTATATTTATTTTATTCCACAATTAAATTAGAAAAAAATATTCAGATTTTCACAGTTATTTATTAATTTACCAATGGAATACCGCCTCAATTTGTCATTACGTAATAGATTGAAATATCTTATTTTGTAAGTCTTTATGGCTTTCAACAAATTTAGTTTTTTTTTCTTTTTGATTAATTATGCAAAATATCAAAATCATCTGCACACTGAATTTACATGAATTAGAATTCGAACTATTATTTTAGTAGGCTCTTTTATGTTCGTCAATGCCTTTCTTAAATGTTTTTGTTTTATAGTTTGGGGCACGTTAGACATTTCAACTTGAAAATTTCGCTACGGTGTTTTCAGTTTTAAAAGCAATCTCGAGGTTAAATTTAAATATGGGTTTCCAAATTTTCTTGCTAGGCCCTCCTATGTATTTTATGCTTTTATAACTTTTGAGTCTTTTTTTTTTACTTTCTAACTCAGTTGTAAACGCATGGTATGTAGAGTTTGAATGCTTAAAAAAATCTTGGAGGGATGTGTGCCCATAAGACCAAATAAAAGTATAATCAACGTAGCGCCTACATAAATTTGGTTTTAGACAGTCAAGAGCTTCCATCACGATGTTTGGGAGAGAACCCATAACTGTTACTGATATTTTGTTTATTATTTCTCTTTACAATTTTGACAGATAAAAGGAAAATATACTCCAAATAAGCATTTTTCAATTGGGATGGGTTTGATATTGGTTTTCGTAAAAAAGGATCTCTACATCGAAACAAAACAGAAGATCGTTTGGATCTACTGTCATGGTGTGAATTAAGTACTATGAGTTTTCTCTGTACAGGATTTTTGTTTATTTATGTATTTATTTATAAAAAAAACTTTCCTACAGACAGACGCAGCTGCCAATAGAAGGAAAACACAAAATATCACAAAGATACTTTGTCAGTGGACTACTTTAAATTGTCAAATTATTTTTTACAAGAGATACAGCGAACGTTTTCCTGTTTCGAAGAATGTGAAAGCATATTTTTTCCAAAACGAAAGGAGAATCAATCGATTTGTTTCCAACGTTTAAGAAATAAGAAATCACAATTTGTTCTACGATTCTTGACTGCATGTAATAGAAATGACGGTTTTCGCTATAACTAAAAAAATGTCTCTGTCTATTAAATCTATAATTTATAGCAGTTACAAACTCACGTTATGCACAATAAATAACAACTAAAAGTTCAGATTTTCACGAAATTATATATATATATATATATATATATATATATATATATATATATATATATATATATATATATATATATATATATATATATATATATATATATATATATATATATATATATATATATATATATATATATATATATATATATATATATATATATATATATATATATATATATATATATATATATATATATATATATATATATATATATATATATATATATATATATATATATATATATTCACATGACAATTGTTTCGACAACACCCTGTCTTTATCAAATGTAATAGTTACAAACTACCTGCTACTACATATACCGAAAAATGACCATAAAACCTTAATTAATGTTGTGAGAATTTAAGTTTAACATCGGAGAGGTATAGAAATCTAATCGGTCGTTAAGCAATACATTTCAATGTCTCATTTTGTTACTCTGCATGGCTACATTCCATCCGTTATCGATAAAATGATAAATAAAAAACAAATCCAGACAACAGTAAACTCTATTTGCCCGAAGCCTAATACAGAACACGAAAAATGTAACACAATTACATACATAGGAGAACCCAGTGAAAAATAGGGAAATTTTTAAAAAACAATAAAACGAAATGTCCAAAATCTCACAAATCGGGTGTCTACAGGTTGAAATGCGGATCTTGCCCTAAAAAAGATAGATTCTAATTATGCTACACACTTAAACACAAAAAAACACATCCTTGACGATAATTTTGATATTTTACATACAGCCACAAAAACTAGAAAATTAAATTTATTGGAAGCCATGGAGATTAACAAAATAAGACGTTCAAATGTATTGCTTAACGATCAGTTAGATTTAAATACCTCTCTATTATTAAACTTAAATTCTCACAGCAACATTAATTAAGGTTTTATTGTCATTTTTCGGTATATATAGTAGCAGGTAGTTTGAAAATATTACATTTGAAAAAGACAAGGTGTTGTCGTAAGAATTGTCATGTGAATATATAAAATTTCGTGGGAATCTGAATTTTAGTTCTTATTTTTTGTGTTAAATGGAATTTCATAGCATATAAATACACTAAAGTATTATTGAATATTTTTTATTATTTATTATTAATATATATATTACCTGCAAAATAAATCCAAGACTTTTGAAAAATATTTTCTATGTGCATCTCAAAAATAAACCTCGAATATAATATAATACCCAGGTCCTTTGCAGAGGTTGAGAATTTCATTTCAACATAGACGCTAGATATTTTACCGGAGAATATCTTGGAGAACCAGTGGTGCTGACACTAGGACGAAATGGTAATCCTAGCTTGTGAATCTTAGGGAGTCGGTAGAAGCGAGTAATTTTGGAGTCGCGAGGAGTGACAGATGATTGGCGAAGCGTCAGCAATTCAGATTTATCAACAACATGGTATAAACAATTATTTCCAAGCTCACGTGTTTAAAAATTAGTAATAGCGTTGCGCCATGGTTCGCCATCTTTTTGGCGCACCTATTGTACGCGTAGGCGTATATGAAATGTCCGTTCCCAACATTTTTTGATGTTGCTTACGAAAAGCCTGTTTTATCAACGTAGCTATGCATTTGTCTTTCAATTAGCTGTATGGGTTGTTCTATTAACATTAGCAAAGCAAAAACCAAATCTGAGCGAACTAGTCCAACCAAGTGTTCTGTTTTGACGGAAAAACTAAACAAAAACTACTTAAGAGCGATTCACTAATAAAGCAAACAAAAGCCGTTATTCCAGGAGGCGCCTACATCGAATATTGGAAAAGGAATTCCGGATCCCGCCTGTTCCCGACCCAATGTTTCTCTAGCCCAATTTAATCTCACATTCAACGTGATCCTATTCAGAACAGCATCGCGTCTTATTTGCAGAAAAATAAAACAGAAATGGGCCATTAAGGTGACGGAATAAAGCCGACGTGATTTATGTATGGTCTGCAGTTTTTATTCGCCATTTTGCCGAAGCTAAAAGGAATTCAACAAGTTATACGGACATTTTTTTTCTCTTGTTTGACGCGGGATTTATTATGCAATTATTAGTTTTATTACCTACCAAATGTGAAAATAAACGTGAAAAAACTTTACTACTAATAAGCGCTTTCGGAAAACAAGAAATAATTGTACATTGACCAAGTGTGTACAGTACAGAGGAAAAAGAAGAAGAAAAGTACATATTACACTCCTTCTTGTCTGGAACATATAATCTTCTTTCATTTTAAGCCCTGTTGAAATGATTTGT